CACCGAGCCCTGAAGGATCCACCCTTCGGCTGGGACACGTCCTCTCTTGCTCGCCCACCCTCCTTCCATGCCCACGCGCGGGCATCCTGCAGGTCTCAGGAGTGAAAGCTTCGCGCTGGGGCGCCTCCTCTGACGAGGTTCGGCAGCGCCGCTGTGGGTTCATCTGTTTCTCACTGCCCCCTCTCCTGGCTCTGGCCACGGGGGTTGCCCGTTACCTGGCCTGCCTCCCTGTTTGGCAGTGACCCCCAAGAGGGAAGGACAAGCTCACCTCGGTCCTTTAGAGTGGCCTGCAGTCAGCACCGAAAACGCCGCTCGACACAGAGTGGACACTCAGTAAATACATGAATTACTCCGTGTCTCCCCATTTCTGGGTTATTAAATAGGAGCAGGGACTGTTTTGGTTTCCTTCTGCATAGTCCTTTATTAGAGAAACCGTGGAGAGTCAGCTCATGCAGAAGAAAGTGTTTGTTACAATGAATAATGTATTACTATTATTTGTTTAATGAAAGATACTTTTTTTATTCCAAGGTAAAGCTGTATACTCCGGTCAGATTCATTGAGGGGCATCGTTCGTTTAATGAATGACACTTGGGCCAGCACTAGGACATGGTGTCAGAGTGTTGTAAAGTCATGAAGCAGAGAAAGTATTGCATCCTTAGTGGAAAAGGGAACATTCTTGGGAAGCTCGCATGGAAATGACATCCCAGAAGCAATGCCGGGAAAGGCAGGAAGCATTTGCTCAGCATGGGGCGAGCCCATGACATTCACCTATGGAATGACCCCGCCCCCGCCAAACCATGACCCGAGCTGGTCCTCTCCCTGGTGGCGGCTGCATTTACGCTCAGCCAAGTCTTCGCTGTCATCTTGACGTGCCCTTCCCTGTCCTCCAGGAACTGAGGTTTGAGCTCTGTTTTCTGGCATCACTAAGTGGCTCCTATGGAAATTGCCCTGATGCACTACATTCAGCATTAAAATAGCACACCAGGGCCTTACTAGAGAATAATCTGCAGTCAGTCACTCAGTCCAGGCTGAGACGACAGGGTTGCGAGAGCCACGAAAACGCGTGTGTGCACTCACGCTGTGCATGCACATGGGCGATTTCTGTGCAGGGAGCAGCGGACGGAGGAGGAACCAGCAGTGGTGTGTGCACCTGGAAGAGTGGAAGACAGAGACTTGTTGAAAACCCACTCCTCTATTTCGCAGACATTTTGGTGTTTTTCCATACATTATTTCATTTCATTCACGTCATAGCCCTGTGAGCTACTTTTGAGACTTAAATCTTTTTTTTATCCTTACCTGAGGACATTTTTTAAAATTGCTTTAGAGAGAGAGAAAGGGGAAGAGAGAGAGAGGAACATCCATGCAAGAGAGAAACATCAACGGGCTGCCTACTCGCATGAGTCCCGACCGGGGATCGAATCTGCAACCGGGGTATGAACCCCACGTGGGAATTGAACCCATGACCCTTTGGTTTACAGGACAACATTCCAACTAACTGAGCCACACTGGCCAGGGCTAGACTTAATTTTAAAAATAAGGGAACTGGGGTTCATAGAGATCGAGTGATTTTTTCCTCCCCCAACGGCACACGGCTGGGAAGTGGCACTGTTAAAACTGAATCCAGGTTTCAATTTGTATTTCCTTTCCCCAAGGCCTTTGCTTCTTCCCAAAGTGACTGAGGGAAGGACATTTTATAAGGAAACAAACAGGACTATGGAAGCTGGAGAGGAGAAATCTGCTGAGTGGCAGGTCTTCTCTGCGAAGAGTTCAAGTGAGAAAGTCACACATGTGTGTTGTATTGTATCAGGAAGAGCGTCTTGATCTAAAATATTGAGGTGCATTTCTATAAGGAGCCTGAGGACCTCCTTTCCCTGAGAAAAACACCTTCTGCGCTGGGTAAACTGAGAGATCTCGCACAGAGAGGATTTTTTTTATCTGGCAGCAGAGAGCTTGGAATGCACGGGTCTGTCAATGAGAGAGCCGTGTGCGGGCAGGGGCCTGCGTCTCCCTGCCTTAGACACTGTGTCCCCTGTGGGGATGGATTCTTTCCAGCTCATCGGTTATGTGTCTGCTCTTGTTCAGGAGTGTGTCAAACATTTCCACCAAGTGGCAGAGAATAACTTCTGGGGTACAGAGTGTGTGCGTACGAATGCCCGTGTGTGTTTATCTGTTCCATTGCAAGTACGAAATTTCTTTGATGTCTCATGTTTTCTTGTAAAAAACACAAATTTGAATTTTATCCCATAATATTCAATAATGTAATGTTTACATTTGTGAAAGCTAAAACATATTTTACAGTTGCTGTACGATAACATCGGTGCTTATCCTGTGTGTCCTGTATTGTTGCTGGGGCTATAAGTACTCGAGTGTGCGAAGCTGCACTTTCTTGATGTTTCTAATTCTGATGTTTTTACTCTAACCCATTCTTTTTCCCTGTGTAGCCATGTGACGTAGGGACTCTGCGTTCCCCTGGTCTCGAGGCTCTGTGCGGGCCCTGGATTAAGTGTAAAGGAGAAGGGTGGATGTCACAGCAGTTGTGGGGACTCTGTTTATCCTTTCCCAATGGGTATGCAGAGCACTTCCTATGCACTTTATGGCATTTCCAGGGAGAGAACAGTTAACGTTTATTAAGCATTTAATGCGCACCAAATACTTTATAGGTTTTTAATCCAATTACATGCCTCTCATAGCTCTGTGAGGTAGGTCCTGTTATTATCCCCATCGTACACATGAAGACAAGGAGACACTGAGCGGCGTGCCTGAGCTCACGCAGCCAGCAGATAACAGGGCAGAGCTTCACACGCAGGCAGCCTTGTTCCGGGGCCACCAAGTGGCACTGCTCCTCTGGGGAGTGTGTCCTGCTGGCCTTGGGGGCTGGGAGAACAAGCACATCACAGCCCTTGATTTCATCCAGTGGGAGTGTGAGCCACCTGTGCCCGCTGGAGCTTGAGGTGAGGTCAGAGGTCCCAGCGGCCTCCATCTGTCACCCCACTCATCCTGGTCCGGGGGGCATCGGTCCAGGGGGAGGGGCGAAGGGAGGAGAGGAGCAGCCGCCTCCGCCAGCCCAGGGCTCATGAGGAAGGATGGAGCCATTCTTACTCCCGAGTGACTTAAGGCTTCTCTAGATCTTGGCAGTAGAGGTGTGTTCAGGGAGGGCAGGTCTTCAGGCAGCCAGGTGGGTGGCTTTCAGAGGAGTCGTTGGTCCCTTAGGAAACCTGGATCGTGCCCAGGCCTTCGCTCCTGAGCTTGCACTGCGAGTGGCAGTTCCAGGACTGGCACCGGCAGCCCCTAGTCCCCATGCCAGGCTAATCGCCTCTGGCCCTCAGACCATGTTTTCCTGGCACCTGTCCTTCCTGGTAATTGGACTGCTGAGTGGCATACGCTTTGTCTGATACCCAGCTCACCTGAAGGACGGGGTCACAGCCGAGGTGGCCCATCTCTGGCCGAGGCCACGGGCCCGGTCTCGCCGAGGCTGGCTCCAGCAGCTGGCTCTGCCAGAGTAGAGTCAAGGCTTCCGGGTAGCTTGGCAATCTTGGTTAAATCACTGCACTTCTCTGGACCTTAGTTTTATCATCAATAAAGTGAAGCTCCAGCGTTAACACTCCAGGAATGCAGTTGGTGTTATGGGGCAGGACAAACATCGTGTTATAAGCCAGAAGAATTGCGTCAGGGTTCATGCATGTTACTGTGATATACAGAACACGCCATTGGGCATCTGTGTCTGTGTCTTAATCAACCACGCGCTGTTCCTGTGGTCGATGTGCATCCTTCTCCAGTAAGGCTTCCCAGCAGGATTAAAAACGGCAGTGCAGCTGCTAACGAGCCAAACTTCAGGGCCTACGGGCAGGGTAAGAAGTCATGTCCACGCTCTGTGGCCCCATCCTAGGGGTCAGTTCAGGCGCTGAGACAAAACCTGAGAGTTCAGGCACATTAGCATATTGACCATGAGAGCCTCTGCGGTGGCCAGCCCTGGACTAGTAACAACGTGGGAGGTTAGTTTGCTCCCAGCGTTTTGAAGACAAGGTCTCTGGCCTTCAAATTTTTGTGCGTCAAATCCTGGCATCTTAGGCTAAATTAAATGTTTGTTGAAAGAAAGAAGAAACTCTGGGGACCTTTTCAGAGCAAGTTCTGAATTTTATTTCCCATCCTCCAAATTGTTGAGATATAATTGACATAGAACACTGTGTAAGTTTAAGGTGTCTAATGTGATTTTCTGTGTTTTAAAATATTAATTCAAAAGCGAACATGAGCTTCTCTCTGTCTATGGTAATAATGCTGAAAAAATGTATTTTGCAACCGCAAGAAATTATTTGCTTATTGTAACAGAAAACTTTTCAGTGTCTTCAGTTCAATGTTGGGTGTTTGAAGTTGTTTTCCTTTCGATAACACACTTGATACACAGCCACAACCCAATGGAGAGAAACATGAATGCGAAAACCCAAACCAGACAGAGCAAGTATTTATAACCCTGCCTCAACCAGTGGAAACACCTTACTTTTTTTTTTTTTTTTAAGGAAAGATAATACTTATTTATAGAGCATTCTTACTTATATATGCGCCATTTTACCAGCACTTCATCCTCAAAGTACCCTGGCAAGCTAAATATTGTTATTCCCCATTTAGAGGAGAAAGTGGGAATTGGGGAAGGTAAGTCGCAGAGCCAGCTCGGGGCACAGCCCCGGGGTTAATGGCCCCAAGGCTGCGCTTGTCTGGCCGGGCCAGGCTGCTCGCGCCAGGCTGCCCGCGGGCTTCCTGTCCCTGGTGCCTCTGTTCCTTGTTTGCCGTGGGGGTTTGGATGCTTTCACAGGCGAGAGAACTCAGCTCAGCCCACGGCCAGGCAAACAGAAGCCCCAGGTTCTGAGCAAATCCGCCAGTGATATCTGCCCCCATTCAGTGGCTGGGCTGTACTTTGCTCTCGTGAGTCAGCCCGTGGAGGCCGGGCAGTTGCAAAGGTAACTGGCTGCTGTAGATAGGAGGGCCAGGTGAGCCTCGGGAGATGTGGCACCTGGACTTTGACAGTCCGCAAGGCGAGGAGGCACTGTTGGGCCAGGCTGCTGGAGCCGCGCGGGAGGCAGGTGGAAGGGCGCCCGAGCAGGTGTGTGGGAACGCTAGCTCCCTTGTTCTCTTTCTCTTACCTGTGCTTGCTGTCCTATCAGACAAGGAAAGGCCAGATCGCCCTAGCGGGGGCCAGGGAGGGTCCTTCATGTGACCGCGCCAGTGCGGCTTGTCACTGTGGACGTAATGCCTTCATTTTGAAAATCTGAGGTGCCTTTTTGTTGGTGTCCTGACTGGAGTTGCTATCTCTTGGCAGTGAAATGACATGATTTTAGCGAAGAGATCGGGTACTGTGCCTTTGCACTCTGGGGAGGCCGTCTAGCGAAAATATCTGGGGACAGGGGAAAAGAGACTCTCTTACTTGGGTCTAAATGGTACTGAGTTCCATGGGCCTTCAGGGAAGACCCATGCACCCTTTCACTCTGGGGACATTTGGCCTTTGCTGGGATTTTCTGGAAAAAACCTACTGTTTTCAAGAAAGTAGGCTTACATGGGGCAGAGGGTGCTGGTTCTTCCAAGCTGTGACTGATCTTGAGGCGGAAGGCCCTTCCGGTGCGGTTTGTTCTCTGCTTTCGGCTCAATCGGTGGACCCTGGCTCCAGGTTCGGTCGGAGTGATGGCTTGATTTCAACACATGCACTTTGACCTTTGGTGCTGATAAGAATTTTTACTTTAGGCTGGGAGTTTCAGGAGTGGGAGCAAGTGAACTGGATTCCATCAGAATTTTTCAGCTGAAAACAGTTCCCAACAGAGAAAAAACACAGGGCGTGACCGAGCCAAGGCGCCCTCCTGGCGTGAGGTACTTCCCGGGAGGAGTGAGGGCCTCTGTGCGCCTTCCCGCAGAGGCGCCTGGACGCAGGCGCCGCTCTGTGCTGCGGCCCAGAGCAGGGAGGGCAGGCTGTGGTCCCCTGGGGTGCTCCCCCATATTGCAGAATAAGTGCGGAAAATCGGTTTGATTCTGGGGAAACTTCCAGTTTTAACATCTCCAGCCAGGCGGGTCACTGGACAGGGCACTCTCATTGGTCGGGGAAGCAACCCCAAACTCCCGGCTCGGTGGCTCCCCTGGAGCGAGGCGAGGCAGGCGTAGCCATAGTACCGGGTGAGTTCTAAGGAGCGCATTGAAGGGCTCAGGAAACGTGTCTCTTGAGGTCAATTTGAGCTTCTTTTTGTTTAGGAAATGCCTTCAGCTGCTCCCACTACCCCGATCTTTATCTCTAACACAGCTATTTATTGAACAATTACCATAGAGCAGGCCGTGGGTTGGGCACACTCTAAATTATCTCTAACTCTGACAGCAACCCTGCAAGCGAGTCATTATGATCCCCATTTTATGGATAAGGACATTGAGGCTTAAAAAGATTTAACTAGCTGCCCTGGCTGGTGTGGCTCAGTTGACTGAGCCCCGGCCTGCAAACTGAACCGTCTCTGGTTCAATTCCCAGTCAGGGCTTGTGCCTGGGTAGCCGCCCAGGTCCCTAGTTGGGGGTGTGTGGGAGGCAACTGATTGATGTTTCTCTCCCTCTCTTTCTCCCTCCCTTCCCCTGTCTCTAAAGATAAATAAATAAATAAAACATGGAAAAATATTAACTAGCTAATAAGTGGCAGAGGGCAGAGTTAGGATTTGAACTGTGGTCTAGCTCTGTCTATGTGGTCTGGCCCGCTCTATTTCCATGACGGGATAGGGCCTCTGCAGTAAATGTGAAATAAGCGTTTGCTGGTAGAGTAAATAACCATTTCTTTCATTGGAATACCTTGGTAGTGTTTTGGACTTTTGTCTATTACTCTTCTCTTTCCCATGCTTCCCATGTCTATTATTGCTCCAACTAACTATACTGTTTAATTTTTGAAGCGACATCAATATAGTTGCCTAGGCTGTTATTTATTTCATGGGTCTGTTTGAGATTTCTCCCCAGGTACTTCTATATCAGTGTCCATCTGGTTTATTTTAGATAGAGGCTTTTGAGGACTGTAAGCACCCCACTCCCTAAAACCTAATCAACCATCATGTTTGGATATAAACCTAAAATAAAGATGAATTTTTTGATCTTGTTTTGTCTGCAGGGAGATGAAATAACTACACAACTGACTGAGAACAAGAGAGAAGGTCAGGAGGTCAGGGATGGAGCCTGGGACCCCCCAGGGGCCGCCGCAGCCCCGGGGGAGGCCCCCCGCACAGTCACAGGGCCCGGGCCTTCGGAGAGACGGATATTACCGGCCTGCGCCCCACACTTGGCACAACGGAGAGAGGTTCCATCAATGGCAAGACGCCCGTGGGAGCCCCCAGCCACAGAGGGACCCCAGGGCAGACCACCAGCAGCCCCATTACATGCCCAGGCCTGGGGACAGGCCTCAGCCTGGGTCAGGGGTTGACTATCAGGAAGGTGGCTATCCCCCCCAGTTGTATGCGAGGTACGGTGATAGAGCTTGGAATTGACCCAACTCTCCCAGGTGCTTATGAGCACATTGTTCTTTTCCTTCTTCCTTTTCCTTTTATTCCTCCTCTTTTTCCTCCCCTTTTTCCTTCTCCACCCTACTACACGGATTTAGCTAAACACTTTTCTCTCCCAAATTGGATTTTGGTGATAGAAAATAGTATTTCCTTCTTCTGTATCCCTTGCTGGAGCTTCTTAAAGAAGCCATTAGAATGTGGTTAGGTGTTGAGCGCAGAGGAGAGGGTAGAATGAATGAAAGGGTGGTGAGATTCAAGAGAACAGCTGGAACCCTCTTCTCCCAGGATTGCAAAAGGCGACACCTATGTGTAGACGATGGAGAAACTTTTCCTAAGGATCCCCGTGAAAACTTCCTCATCACCTTTGGACCACTCCGGCCCAGAGTTAGCATGACACCCCCGCCTCCGAGAAGCGCCCTGGTACCTAGAACAGCACTTAGAATGTGACAGGCCTCTAATAGAAATGGGTAGTGAATGAATGAATGGGAACTTAAAAAAAAAATCAGCCTCTGGGGAAGCACATAAGCTTGCAGGCTCCATGCTGAGAAGGACGAGGCCTCAACGAGGTTGTTCTAGGTTGGAGATTCTAGAATCCCCGCCCCTGAGTTCTAATGGATAGCACAGCACCTAATATTTTATGGAATGTCCGGAGCTTTCTGTGTCCACTTTAGGTTTTCCAGGGGGAGTAATATTTACCTGCCTACGGATTCAAGGTTGAAATTATGACAGATATTTTAAAGGATTTTGCCTCTATGATATGTTAAAGAATTATTAGTTGATAAGAACATTAACAACCTGGCATTCCTTTCCCTGGTCTTTCTGGATTGTTGACGTCTCAAAGGAAGATACGTTAAGGACAAAGGCAATACAAACAATCAGGTTTAACATCGTTTGACCTGACTTTTTGGTCTCATTTCCATCTGTAATATGCATGGGCATTACAACAGCATATTGGATACTTACACAGTCATCTCGGGAAGGGGTTTTCAAAGACAATATCTTGTGTGGTTGGATGTGCGTCCTTGAAGAGCGAGAGGGATCATGGAGGAGGAGACACTTGGCTATCGCTTTGCTATGAAAATCCCAGCCTTGTTCTGAAACAAAGGCCTTACCCCTGCTCTGTGCCTGAATTTCCGGTTTATGGGATCTAGAATTAACTGCGACTTTTAAACAGATTCTAGACGGAGGTTACAATTCTGTCCTCTGAGGTTGTTTACTTTGTCCAGTCTTCTACTGGGTTCTCTCTTTACCACACTCATCCTTGAATGACTGGCCTTCTTTGTGACATTTTAGGCCAGGCATTGAGGATCCATATCAGAGCTACCTCCCCCCGGCTCTGAGGGAAGAGTATGCTTATGGAAGTTACTACTACCGTGGGCACCCGCAGCAGCAGCCAGAAGAAAGAGGTATGGAATAACCTCCCAGAAGCTTCTGAGATGGGGCAGAGGCCAAGACGGCCACATGCAGAACCTCCCCTTGGACGCACTGCTCTGCAGCGGGGGGAAGGACCTCCTGGCCCTGCCTACTTCTGTCTTGCCCAGATGAGGTCACAGCAAAGACACTAGAGCTTGATGTCTCGAGGAGAGATAGAAAGCAGTCATTTTTCTTTGTAGGTGTAGGTGACAGCACTGAAACTCTCACTGTGTTGCTAATATTATGGATACTTTGCACTTTATCCACATTTTTTTCCTTCTACTTCTCATTATGGCTCAGATTACAGTTTCCGACCAAGGGTCAGTGACATCATCGCATCTGTCCCTGGGCTGGGATGAGTCTGACCATCATTTACGCTGTGGTGCAGATAGGCACCCTAGGAATTTGTACCCTACACAACAGTAAGGCTTTAGATATATGCTAATGGCTGCTAGCAAAGAGAGATCCGTTTTGACCATTGAAAACACACACGCACACGTTCCTCCCACCCCATTGTACATTTGTAAGGAGCCACACTGACCAATCGGGGAGGACTCAGGAGCCTCTCATGGGCTTCCACCATCAGCTCCTGCTTATCAATTCTGTTCAGTTTGGCAACTATGTGTGTGTGCCTACTGTGCTCCAGCGACTCAGTTCCATAGCCTGGAAGTGTCTTTCCGTGCTGTCAGAAACAGGAAGCGACCTGCTTTATTTATTTTATTTTTTTTCTGAGGGTGCAGTGCGGAGGCAAGCGAGTCCTTATATCTGGCATGAAGATTATCGAGAGCCAAAGTACCTCCCTGAGCATCACCGTGGAAACCAGAAGAGTCCGTCTGGGACACACAGTGAGACCCAGTTCCAGTGAGTGTGCAAGGAGAGGCCAGGCCTGCACGGTTCAGCCCCGCCAGACTCCTTTAGGAAAATCCAATGCATCTGGCACTGGGCTCTTGTCTCTGGAAGCCTGTCTGCTTCTGTTGTGGTGTGTGGGGGTTGTTCCTGGGGACGTGGGTGTAGCCCAGGACGGCCCAGGCCAGCTGTTAGCAGGAACCCCAGGCGGAGAGATTGTTAACTCTGAGACGTGGTTCCCAGACCTGGGCTCGTGTGGGTTCTGTTACCTGAGGTCCACGCTGAAGGAGGGCCTTCATGCCCTGTTGGCCTCGGAACAGATGTGGCCTTCCAGAAGTTCCCATGACGAGGTCCTGCCTGGGGCTAGGATGCTCCTCCTGCATGGGATGTCCGCTCCTGCATGAGGGGAATGGGACATCCTTTGGGATGAGGCAAGCCGGGGACGGGAACAGCCTTTTGTTCGAGCACCTGTCCTGGTGGCCTTAGGCCTGACATCTTTACCTGGAGCCCACCCACCAACTGCTCTGATTTAAGCCGTTCCAGGAGGCCAGGCTGCAGGGCCCAGGCCCGCTCTGCGGGGTTGGGGGCAGCTTCCAGTCGCTGCACTGGGGAACCTGGGAGCCCCTATTGTCCTGGTATTAGCAGACTGAGGAGGCGATGGGAGGACAGTGCTTCCCCCCTGTGGCACGCAGGCCGACCGGACGCCTGCCCGCCCTTTGCCATAGAACGGCCTTCCGCAGGGAGCAGCGCAGCCTGGCTGGCTTGCCCAGGAAGCCGTCCCCCGCAACCTGTCCCTGTCATTTTGCTGCAGATCTCAGAGTGGGAACGCTTATAAAGACAGCCCTGCTTCCAACTCTGGGCAGGAGAGGCCTGGGAACCTGTTTCCGGAGAGTCTACTCACGGGGGCCCAGATGAATAAGGTGAGCTGAGGTGGCATTGGGGGCTGGTGGCCTTGCCAGTGCCTCACAGTGGCCCACAGACTGAGGGCCCTGCCCGCCTCCTGGCAGAGCCGCCGCTCACTCCTCCTCCTTCCCCGCTGCCTGTTTCAGTCTTCAGGGGCTGGGACCCTGACCTGCCCTTCTGCATTTTTGTCAAATTGGCCAGGTCGGGAAATGTCCCCTGAGTCAGTCTGAGGTGCTGGGAGGGAGGAGGGGAGGCTGCCACCAGGACCCCAGCAGACTAGCATTTTGGTTCACCCAGGTAGTGGGAAGTTGCTGGGATCGTTTAATTCAGGCCTGAAAAGCAGGGCTTGGGACCTTTCTTGACTTTTTAGAAGACCTTCTCTGTCTTCTCAGATCTTACTGTGCATATGGCGTGGGCCATAAACTAGAGCTCTTAAATTTTTTAAATAAACTTTTATTTTGGAAAAATGTTAGATGTATAGAAAAAATGCCAAGACACTGTAGAGACAAGCTCTTAATTTTTGACAGTCTTGAATACATTTTGTTCCCCTGACTGGCTTTGTATGATCTTGGAGAGCAGCTCCTCCTGTATGCCCAGTGCGTAACAGGGTGGGGCACACAGTATTATGAGCAACGGTAACAACAACACAGTAACAGCAGCCACACGCAGGTACAGCACCTGACAGCAGACAAAGAGCTTTTGCATCCAGTGTTTTATTTGTCTCCCCCAGGAGGTAAGTTCCATGAATTCCTTGTATGCCTGTAGCCCAGGGAAAGCACAGTGCCTGGAGCATAGTAGGTGCTCATTAAGTAGTTGGTGTGATTATCTGTATTACCAGTGAGGGTGCCCAGCTCACAGTCACTTGTCACAAGTCATAGCAGCTCAGTATTGACAAAGCTGGGATCTGAATCCAGGCCTCCTGGCCCCTCGTGGGCCCAGGACCTGCACTCTTTCCACTGGGCCATATGCATCCTTCCGCGAACAGCTGTCAATTGAATTATCCATTCTTTCGCTTTCAGCACATCCACACGCACTGTATTTATCCAAGTTTGATTTTTGTTGCTCGGCATGAACACTCGGGGGGACCGTCCCTCTGAAACCGCTTCTGATTCTTCCCGGGCGTTTGCATTGGTTTTAATTTCCAGCCACCGCTGAGCAACGAGTCCAACCTTGTGCAGCAGCAGGAGTCCGGCCTCAGCTCCAGCAGCTATGAGCTCAGCCAGTACATGGCCGATGTCCCCGAGCCCTACGACCCCGTGGCCTCAGCAGCATGGAGACCAATTCAGGACGGTGGGTACTGAAGTGATCAAAGTCTTTGGTTGAGTCCGGTGGGAAGAAGGCTGAGTGGCAAGTCTCTCAGAAAGACACATTCACGCGGGCTTCCAAGAGTGGCTTCTTGTTCACCTCATTTGCCTACATAGGTCTTTGGGCAGAGAGGCCAACTTGGCTCCATTTCCCACCTTTTCCGTTGTACTGGAGGTTGCATCAGAGCAGATCCTTGGCAGGGAACCCTGCTCCCAGCCATCACCAGGCTCTCCTAGGAGCTTTTAAGTAGCAGATGAAGGAAGTGAGGACCGGAGTCAGTTTGGTAAAGCAAAGGCAGGTCACAAAGCGTGATTGCTTTGTCGGGATGTGGATGACTTGTCAAAATCCTGGCCTATCGTCATCATCGAGAGTCTGGACTTGGCGCATCATTAACTTTTGAACCAAACCTCAAATGCTTGCGTTACATTCTGACGTGTTCTCAGGGGCTTACGTCTGACTTGAAGCGAGGGCTGCTTCCAATGTAGGCCCCCCCCACCCAGCTCTCAGGTGGAATTTGGACAGAAATGCATTTGTGGCATGTTTCTAAGTAAAGGAAAGCAGTGGCCGTCATTGCTAACAGTGCCCACCTGTGTCTGTCGGTCAGAGGACGCACCGGCAGCGGGTTTCAAGGCGCCCATGAAGTTCTACATCCCCCATGTGCCTGTGAGTTTCGGGCCAGGAGGCCAGCTGGTGCGTGTATGTCCCTGCTCTCCCAGCGATGGGCAAACGGCCCTTGTTGAACTGCACAGCATGGAGGTGAGCAGGAGTCCGCCTCCCCGGCCTGCCGCACACTGCTCCCTGCTTCCTCTTGTTTGAGCCTGGGCACCTCCAGGGACGGGGGCCCTTGTGGGCAACTGGGTCGTGCACCCTGCGGGTGGGTTGTGTGTAAACAGGAATGGGTGGGGCCGTTCCCTGGAGAAGTGATACTAGGCTTACATTTTTCTTGAGATGCTGTTGGCTCAGTTGCAGCAACTGGAGAACTCACTTCTGTTCCGCTTTCTCTATGAGACCCTGAGCCACACCGTGGGACCGTGGCCCCAGGTTCTGACACTGGGCTCGACTGAAAGGGGCATTGTGTGGACATGGTCTTGAAGGGCAAATCTAATTTTTGTTCCAGGTTATTCTTAATGATTGTGAGGAACAAGAGGAGATGAGAACTTTCTCAGGACCCCTGATCAGGTAAATTACCTATGAGCTGCTGAGTAAGGGCTCTTGAAACCTACAAAGTCTTCCTGCTCAGAGTAGGATTTGGGGGCATTGGCTCTTGGCTTCCTTGAAAGAAAATGTCTATGCCCATTGCAGTAGAATTCTCTGTGCTACCAGACAGAGCTAAATGTGGCCTGAGCCCTTTTGACAAGCAATTCAGTAGTTGAAGGGCAGAAAAAATCATTAACACAAAGGTGTAAAAGTTTGAAATCAGTCCTGGCTGGTGTCACTCAGGGGATTGAGTGCCGGCCTTTGAATCAAAGGGTCGCAGGTTCAATTCCCAGTTTAGGGCACCTGCCTGGGTTGCAGGCCAGGTCCCCAGTAGGGGGTGCTCAAGAGGCAACCACACACTGATATTCCCCTCCCTTTCTTTCTCCCTCCCTTCCCCTCTCTAAAGTAAATAAATAAAATTAAAAAATAAAAACCTGAAATCAGTTCCATTTTACAGTGGTGACATGGTATGAGGTTTCAGCGTTCCATGTCCTTAACAGATACTGGAAAAGGGGAGGACAGCCTGGAGGTCATAGACAAGCAGGGCCTAGTGGGGAAAAAAGGCTTACCTTTTTCTGGAGAAATAGCAGTCAGCGTTGGAGTTCCTGGACAGTGTGCAAGTCCGCCCTCTGCAGGACTGAGCGAGAACTGCTTTTAACTGTCTTCTAAAATGCCCTTTGCTGTGGAGTCCTGGCTGCTGGCAGAGGACCGGGGTCCCAGGCCAGGGCATCCTACTAACTAGTGATACCAAGGCAGACAGGTCATTTAGCTCTTTCTAGCCTTAGTTTTCCCTTTAAGAAATGATTTAATGCCAGCTGTGCCTACCCAGGTGGTGGCTGTGAGACCGGAGGGGGATAGTGCACAGGGAAGCCCTTTAAATAGCAACACCATTATATAAATGTGTTCCTATCCTGATTCTCCCCCAAGAAAATCTCCATCCAGTATTTTGACAGTGTCGTCAAGTGAAAGTGAGTTGTCTGTTTCTTACAGTGAGGCACGCAGATTCAGCAGAGCATCGAGTTGAGCATTTGGACACTAGGGCATTTGTTCCCTCTGGGCACTGATTGTATTGAATGGTCTTCAGCAAATAATATTGCTTGTTTATTGAGCATTTAATACATGCCGCACCCTTTGCTAATTCCTTTTTTTGTAGGGAGATCGATTGTTAAAATGATCCCTATCTTAAAGGAGAAAGCAAGGCTCCCAGGAGACAAGAAGGCTGTGGAAGCTGGGAGGTGGCAAGCGAAGGTTTACACCCAGGGTCTGAATCAGACCCTGAGTCTCTGCTCTTGCCCGCTCCCTGGGCGATCACTGCAGGTCTCAGGCCTCGGTCTCCTTGCCTGTGAGAGGGAGAGAGCATCCGCGAGAACCTCTGAAGTCCCTTCCTGTTCCCCAAGGAAAGGACGGTCCTACAGCCGCAGCCTCAGTTCCCCCCACCCCCCAACCCCCGCCCTGGCCCGCACCTTCCAGCCTAGCCTGTGGCCTCGCTCCCTGGGAGTAAGCAGCCTGCGGCCCCTCCAGGAAGAGTCTGCAGCCGCTCACCCGTCGCTCCCTGAAATCTCTCTGCAGGGAAGACGTGCACAAGGTGGACATCATGACATTTTGCCAGCAGAAAGCAGCTCAGAGCCGCAAATCCGAGACCCCAGGGAGCAGAGACTCAGCTCTGCTGTGGCAGCTGCTGGTTCTCCTTTGTCGGCAGAATGGGGTGAGTGATGGGTGGGCCGCAGCAGCGGGATTGGCGTGTAAGCCTTGCTGGGATCCGTGAGGTTCCGCCTAGGGTGTAATTATCCAAGGTGACAGTAAAGAAGCAACACGCGCCACCCCAACCCCCGCCAGTTGCTCCGACGTCGATGCCAGCTTGCCTCCCAGACTCCCCCTTGACCTTGCCCCTGGCCTGGGGTATTGTGAAGCTGTTGGGTTACTGCACCAGGCACCCATGAGAGTGCGTGTATTCCTGGAAATCCTGTGGCACCTGAGTGGGATACAGCAACCCAGTGCTGACCTGCCTCCCCGTGAAGAAGGGGGTGCCCCGATGTTGTGTCTACTCTTCCAGCCGGGGCTGCCCCGGGAAGACGAAGAGGAACCTTCCCCTCTCGGGTGACTCTCTTTCCCTTGCAGTCCATGGTGGGGTCTGACATTGCGGAGCTGCTGGTGCAAGACTGCAAGAAGCTGGACAAGTACCAGAGGCAGCCACCGGTGGCCAACCTCATCAGCCTGACCGATGACGACAGCTGGCCAGTGCTCAGCGCGGGGACCCCGAACCTGCTCACCGGGGAGATTCCCCCCAGTGTGGAGACGCCAGCGCAGATCGTGGAGAAATTCACTAAACTGCTCTACTATGGGAGGAAGAAGGCAAGTGTGCCCCCACCAGGCTTGTCCTAAAAAGTAGCCACTGTCTGTCCCCACCACCCAGCCCTCCTCCCAGTAGATGGGGAATACAGGGTCTGCACAAATAGCGCCCCCCTTTTTTCCATTACAAACTCTTTTCTAACAAAACCATAAGCATGTAATTCTGTAACATAACAATATCACAGTCAAGCACACCGTAGGACACTTTAGGTGAAATGTTCAAATTAAAACTGTAAGTTATTACGTCCATATTATTACCCTACCAGCCACCCTCAAGCAGGTGTTACTGTTGCCAGACCCTGTGTCTACTCACTTTGTAGCACTTAAGTTCGGGAAGGTATGAAGAAGAAAATAAAAACATGAAGGAGCACATTTTCAGTTTGATATTTAAAGAGTAGAAAGTAATTCAAATGTAGATCATCATGTCATTGTTTGTCATTCTTGGATTTGAATCATTTGGGTCTTATCAAACTCAGTTAATATTCAAAAATATAATCTTCAAGTCTCTAATAAGGTATGACTACTCAAGGATTTCTAGATAAGGAAAGGCAAGTTATTGTTTGCCTCAGTTCTATCTGTACGCAAAACAAAGTTTAAATGGTGTTTTTCTTAATAATCTTTCAAACCCTCTGAATATATGTGAAGTAGAGTTGAAATATGAATACAACTAATTACATAGTTAATGATGGTGTGGATAAAACAAAGTAATTATAAATTTTTCAAAATGACAGAAGTATCCTGAAATCAAAAGACACATTTTATAAACCTATTTATCTTTCTGCATAGGCAATAGCAAACATTTTCCAAACACCCTTAGATTGCGTGTCAACAAAATGGCAATAGAATGTTCTGCTAATTGGTGACTCTTTCTGTCGTGGGTAGGGAAGGCCTCTGAAACAAGCAATGGGAACAGGAGCTATAGTTCATACATAGCAAAAGTGCAGTTTGATCTTGGGAAAAAGTGAAACACAAATTCTTTTGTTGATACTCAGTTTTTAATCAACTTTTTTAAATTAAAAAAACAGGCATAATCCTGCAATTAAAAGATAACAGCTGTAAACGTTTTGTTTATTTACTTGTAGCATTTTTCTATTTGTATACATTCAAAATCAAATTAAATCATATATACAATCACTTCTTCTTTCCTAAGGTTATATGGTGAAACACTCCCATGGCATTAGAATGCACCATTTAAAAATGGTTGGACAACATTCCATCATTTGAGGGCATCAGATTTTATTTAACCATCCATCATTGACTGCAGAGGCTATGTACATTTTTGTCACCCATTATCAGTTATACAATTTGAACATCTTGCCACATAAGTCTTTGATGGATCTTTTAATGAGTTTTTTTAAGGATAGATTCCTAGAAGTGACATCACTAGGTTGAAGCGCATGCACTTTCTAAAAAGTTCTTCATACATACACCGAATTAATTTCCAGAAAGTTTGTTTACATGCTATACCCGCACCAGCCATATCTAAGACATGCCTACCAAGTACTTTAATTCAGCAGATGAAGAGATGTCTTGCTTAATTTTTTTGACATGTAAATTAGACAACTTAATTTTTGCATTATTTATTTAAATCTTTTATTGAAGTATATTTGACAAAAATTGTAAGATTTTAAAGGGTACAATGTAATGCTTTACTACACACACACACACACACACACACACACACACACACACCCCTTGTGAAGGGATCCCCCATTGAGCTAATTAACAAATCAGTCACCACACAAATTTACCTATTTTTAGGCCTTGTTTAATTTTGAAGTCGAACTCACATTTTACAAAAGTCTTAACTTAAATATTTGAATATATGATTAAAATCAAATTGATTTAAAAAATCAAAAGATAAAACAAGGGGAAAATGGGGAAAGGGCGCCCCATCCCCAGCCACTCAGCTTCTGTCCGAGCTACCCACGGGTATTTCATGCACAGGTAATTGTTCCTCCTCTTTTCATAGCGTACTGTTTGCCACTTTTCACCTTCTGCTTTTCATTTAACAAAACATCTTGGCACACGCTTTCTGTGAAAGGGCAGACAGGGAACAGCCCAGGCCGGCAACGGCTGGGCTCCGCCGCTCCCGGAGAACCAGCGGCACGGCTGTGCTCCAGTAGGCACTCGGGTTATGTGTGATCTCCACCCGTAATGAAATAGTATTCTTCTTTTGATTTTTCCAATCATTTAAAAAATATAAAAACTATTCTTAGCTCGTGGGCTGAATTTGGCCTTCAGGCCACATTTTGCGGACCCCTGCTCCTTATATATATACATGTCTTCTTTATTATGTCTTATAGTTAAATTATAATTAATTAAACCCTTATATACTGACATTTAGGTTATGTCCAGTCTTTTGCTGCAATGAATAGCCATTGTCATTTTACCTTGTGCGAGAGAATACATGTGTGATGCATTTCTAGAAGTGGAGGTGTTCCAGAAGGGTGGATGGTTTGTAAGTTTGGTTGATATCCAAAAATTGCCTCATTAGCGGTTGTACCAATGTACTCTGCCCTCAGTGGAAGAGGCAGGTGGACCTGGGGACATGGAACTTGCAGGCATGGAGGGCCGGCTGTATCATGTTGCCACTTGTATTTTGAGACTCAGTCCTCGGGGTGAGGTACTTCTCTCATTTTTGACCCTAAGGTTCACAGAAGTGTCCTGTGCCTTTGCTAGCGATAAGGCGAACTGGAGGCCATGTCTGAAGTGAAGCTAGTGAAAGGGAATAATGGATTCTTAAAAAATAAAGGCTAGAGAAAGGGACACCTTGGACATACGTGCCAGCTAAAGTCCATTCCCCACGATTCCTTCTTCATGTTCACAGGTGGGGCTCTAGGAGTCTTTGTGGCGGCCCCACCTCTAGCTCTCGGGGGGCAGCGGTTCCTCAGCACAGTACCTTGTCCTTGTTGCCAGAGGAAGACACTGAATGTGACGTTTTGCTTTCAGGAAGCCTTGGAGTGGGCCATGAAGAACCATCTGTGGGGCCACGCTTTGTTCCTCTCCAGCAAGATGGACCCAAGGACCTACAGCTGGGTCATGAGTGGGTGAGCGGGGGCCTTGCAATGGAGGGCAATAGAGCAGAGAGGCCTCCCCCAGATGTGGGGGGTGGGGCCAGTGGGAGAAATGCAAGATGCATTGACACACCCACACTCTAAGCATTTTCCCAGGTTCTCTTTTCTGAGCCGGATGTAGAATTTCTCTACTCCAGGTTCTTATAAGCTAGACACAGACACACTCTTCCTCCCTGCAAAGCTGAATAGAACATTTTAGCAATATTTCCCAGAGTCAGGGCTTCCAAAAAGTAAGGGGGTTTCTACATTGTGGTAGCTTCTGTCCTTGGAAAGGGCTGTTTTGGATAGTTCCATTAGCGAGGGGAGAGGAATGTCACCCAAGGTTAACTCACAGAGCCTTAGGACTGAGAGTTAGTGCACGTCTACTGCTTAGTCTTGCAGTGGAGATATAGGTGCTGGGAAGAAGGTAGGGATGCGGGGTTGCAGGACTGAGCTGCGGCAGGAAAGGGGGTTTATGGGACTGGGAATTAGATCCGGAAGTCTTCACCCAGGGCAGTGGGAGATGACAAGGCTGAAGGGGTACGTTTAGTCAGAAATCATGCCAGCATACCAAGATCCGGGTACCAGGAGGACTGGGACAAATGCCCAAACCAGGACGAGATAGGAATGGAGGTGCGAGTTCCTAGCCAGGAGCTCCAACTAAGGTGGATGAAATAGCAAAAGAGTCAGATCTAGTGGAGGTGGTAGGCCTAGGGGGTGCTGGAGAAGGGTTTCTGAGCAAGTCCTTTAAGCTCTAGTTAGCATCCATGGGACACATATGTGGCATGGACGGGGCTGCCCTCTTAGCTTCACTTATATTTAAATTGGCCACACATCCTGCTGAGCAGAGAGTTGGCCAAGAAGATGGACACACTATGCTAAGTTCCGTCCGTGGGGCTAGTGGCTGTCACGCTCCCTGGAGCCCGTTCTTCACGATGGCCTCCACGGGCCTCTTCCTGATGCTAACCCGTCGGCTCCATGGGCCTGGCCCCACCGCTGCGCACTCGGCCTGTGCAGGGGCTGGACTGGGGAAGAGCAGCGGAGCTTCACCACATCACGTGCTCTGAGCCTGCGAGGCCAGGGCACTACTAAAAACGATGCTGCTTTAAGGGATGGTTTTCCCTTGGGGTTTGGAGACGCGTATCCCACTGCCCACGTTGCAGCATATGTCTCTGCTACAGATTTTTGCCTTGGGCCACTGATTCTCAACAGCACCCAGTGAGTTGTGAAAAATCTCTTTCAAATCAGCTCTAGAGCTTATAGCATTGCTGTTAAGCATATCCCTTGGTTTGTCACCATCAGGACCACTTCTGGTCTCTGTTCGATGCCTATTTGGTTTCTGAAAATGGCTACTTAGTGCCTGCATGTAAAAGCACTACAGTCCCAGAGAGGAGGTTTGGGTTCACTGCTGCGGCCCTCCAAGGCTCTTTGAGACACTGGTGGTCACCTCCGTGCAGAACTAGTGACCCAAGAGTTCGGGTGTCCGTGCCAAAGTGCAGAAAATCTCCCCCAACAGTGGGATCCACCTGGGGTGTGGGGTGAAGATTCTGTCCTCTAGGTGTGACAAAGGCACAACCGAAAAGCAAAGAGAAGCTCTTGTTCCAAAGGAAGCTGCTAAAACCAAATAGAAATATGTATGAGGCCTTGAGCAATGGCAATGGGTAAAAGGCCCTCTTGCCTTGGCCCCCGCTGACGGCCGTCTCTCTCTGCAGCTTCACCAGCACGCTGGCGCTCAACGACCCGCTGCAGACTCTCTTCCAGCTCATGTCCGGGAGGATCCCGCAAGCAGCCACGGTAGCCTTTGTGGGACCCTTTCAACACCCCGCATCCAAAGGGCTTAGGGGGTGGGACTGCTCTGGAACTAGGGCATGGCTTTGATGATTAAAAATCAAAATAAGTGTTCGTTCATAACCTACCTCGTGCAAAGCACTTTGATGCTTATTATCTCATGGAACGCACAGAGGCAGGAATTCCCGTCCCTGTTTGGCGGACGTGAAAACAAATGTGCGAGGTGTGAAATGAGCCACAAACACAGAGCGAGCCAGGAGTGGAGCCAGGATCAGCCCCACGCTGCTCAGTCCCAGAGACCCTGCCCTACCACCAGGGCTTGGGGCCAGCTTCGCTGGGAAGACCAGGAGAGCCTGAGGCTGCTCTCCAGGCCTCCACAGGCTACTCTTTTTTCCCTCTACTGCGCCTTGACCCTTCGAGGCTGGACACACTAGATTTTGCGCATTGTCTAGACTTGGGTTTGGCTCAGGGGATGTCCAAGGCCAGCTGGGGAGTTCTCCCATTGTAAGAGATGTGGTCTTTTTGCTTCAAGTATTCCTTCCTTATCTTTAAAGTCCAGTAACTAGGATACATCTTCGTTGACTGTTTGGGTCAGTTTTTTTTTTGTGGAACACAGAATGTTCTTTTAATATGTGTATTTGTGTCTTATGGTTCAGAAAAGCTTTCTTGAATTATATCCTTCCGTGATTATTTTATTCTATTATTTTGGTTTTCTTTTCAGGAACTCCATTTATAGCCTTTCCATTTAACTAAAAAGAACAAAAAAACCTTTGTTTGTTTCATTTCTTTATTTATTTTTTGCATTTCTAATTTCTACCCTGCATGTCCCTTATTGTTTCACCATGTTTTTTAGCTTCTATGTTCTTTTCGTTTTTGTCCTTATTTCTTTGACTTTCCCCCACCTCCTCCCCAAGCTCTGTGGGCCTCACTGATCTTCTGTTCACACCATCTCTTTCCTCAGCACCTAAAACTTAGCTTTAGGCCCTTGCTTCGTAGACGTTGTTTCATTGTTTTATTTTACTTCAGTTCATGATAAAATATTGGGTGGTAGTTTTTTGTTTTCTGGTAACTTGTTTATTTTTCCCCCCGGTGAATGTTCCTTCTACCTTCCATTTATTTTTCACGCTACTTCTCTCCCTCCGTCTTTGTAATCTGCACGGAGAACGTGCTGGCTCCTTCAGGAGTCGAGTCTTCTCTGGTCCGGTTATTCATGGGAGGCCTGTGCGGGGAGGGGCCAGGGCCGTATCAGGCCACCTGGCCTTTCCCGCATCTGCTGTAGTTTCCTGGGATCGTCTGTGCAGCCTTTGTGTGTCCCCAGCCTGCGGAGATGGCTGTGGGGTAACCCCCCGCTGCTGTTTTCTCTCTGTTCCCCCATGAATGCACTTCTGTCCACACTCTCCATCTCTTTTGGCAGCCTTTTCTCATATTTCCAGGTGTGGGCTTCTGCTGACGCCTAACTTTAATGAAAGTGGACCTCAAACTTATGCTTTTGTTGTTGTTGTTGTTGTTTTTCTTTTTCTTGCTCTTTGCGCACAACTCCACAAAAAGAAAAGGGAAATGACGGCTTCTGAGCCCCTCCCTTAAACCCCGGTTGCAGCGGAGCACAGAGCGCGCCTCGCTTCTCTGCCCGGACCCTGCGCTTTGCCACGGAATTGCGTCCGGTTGCCCGCGCAGGGAATGGCGCAATCAACGTGGGTCGGCTGGGTCTCCCTGCAGTGGGGGAGTTACCTGAACGCTCCAGACTTGTAGGCGAGGGAACTGAGAAGTCAGGGGTGCAATGCCAACGCTGTATTTGATCTTAGCGTTTGAGGGTTTCTTATGACAGCATCCGGTAAAAGCTAAGGCTGTAGTTACTTGCAACGCTTGGTGCTGTGGACAAAGCGCAGCCGCCGGAAACACAGACTGGGCTTCTAGCACAGGTACGACGTGGACTCTGCTCCCGCCGCTGAGTGAACTTGGCCTTGTTCCTTCATCTCGGAACCTCAGTTTCTCATGTTCGTGGGTATTCCGATGCCTAACCGATAGAGTGATGGTGAAAGTTAAAGGAGAGATAATATCTGAACACGTCAGCCGCCATGCTTGGCTCATTGAAACTAGTTAATGAATGGTTGCTCTCTCTCTGCCTTTGTCTGTCTATCTCCATATATCAGCTTTACAGTGATTTTTAAAAATCACTTGTGGAGGAGACAGAATGACTTCTAAGTTTTTGTTCTTTTTAGCAAAGGCTTTTCTTTCGCTGGTTTCTTTAGTCCCAGCAAGGAAGGGCCTGGCTCCCACATTAAGGTGGGGATAATAATAGCACCCAAACCCTGTGACTGCTCCTAGAAGAACTGCCTAGTGTGGTTCGTGGTCAGAGTGTAGGAAGCGAGCATGGCCAGTAGTGGGTGATTTATTATTATCCTCCTCATTCATATTGCATAGCCCCGATAAATAGAGGAACTGTAAGATGGAGTCAGATGAGGCATCTTTTGTTCTTTGGCATAATTACCAAGACCAAGTCATTGTGAATTGTGTTGACATCCAGATCTTAGCTATTACTGCCAATCTCCTGCTTCCCTCACTGTAGGTGACAGCTGGAAACAGGCTGGCGGGGTGGGGGGCGGGTGGGGGGCGATCTGCAAATCTCTTTCCTTCGTTGGGCTTGTGCGTGTGCGTGTGTGTGTTTACACCTACATGTAATTAATAAAGTGCAAACCAAGTGTGCAGCATTATGCTCCGTGCTTTACTTAACTATCTCCTGTTATTATCAACAATAACCCCCTTGGGTAGAAATTACGATCTCCATTTAAGAGATGAGGAAACGAAGGTTTAAACACATTGAGAAACTAGCTCAAGGTCACACTGCTAGTAAGAGGCTGGACTCCAGTTGAATCCAGGGCCCGTGTTACTTCTGTGACCTTATGTGGTTTCTTTATTGATGTTTCCTGCGCTGAAATCCCTCTTCATTCGGGAAAAGGCTGGCCCCAGGGCCAGATGGTAGGTAAAGCACCCTTCGTGTGTTCTTTGTTTACACTCTACTGCCCCCTGGTGGAGATCTCTGCCCCTGCATTGTTACCAATGGGAAGAAGGCGTAGCCCTTGGCTAGGAATGAATGGGGCTGGAGTGCTGGTTGGGCTGCTTGGCTTGATTTTTTTTGTCCTCCCAAGTGGCGCTAGTTTGTTGTGAGGATTAAACAGGGTGATGTATGCTAGAGGGCTTTGTAAAACTAGAAAACATTAGCCATTTGTAAGGTATTAAGGAGCCCAATGTTCCCCTGACTTGTAATGCTAATGTGGACTCTATGCCTTGTGAGCCTGAGATGTTTGGTCTTCCTTCCTCAACTGAAACAGGGTTTGATTTTCATTTTGTCCCTAGCCATTGGGATTGGGGGCACCAGGAAGAAATTTGAAAAATTAGTGAAAATTAGTGACTACTAGTGTCATTTATTTATCTATCTTATCCCTGTGTATGCATGTATAGGCAACTGTCTGCCTGCCTATGCTTCACTCTAGGGGTTGTGCTCTCTAAAAACGGAACTTGAAATCCTTGAGCAGCAGCATCGCTGGCAGTGTAGCACGTACTCTCTGAACTCCTCCAAACCGGGAAACCGACGGCAGCCCTTGCTCCCTCCATCCTGGCCAGCGCTGCACTGTTCAGTAAATCTTCAATTTTTCCTGCCACTTTTCAGAGTTGTGGGGACAAGCAGTGGGGAGACTGGAGGCCTCACTTGGCGGTGATGCTGTCGAACCAGGCTGGGGACCCGGAGCTGCATCAGCGTGCGATCGTCACCATGGGGGACACCCTGGGTAAGCAGAAGCCCGCACCATCCTTGTCTTCTCGGCTAGGGCAGCTCCAGGCCTAGCGCATCTTGTGCTTCGGTTCTCAGGCAGGTACTGTTAGGGCCCAAGCCTATGCCTCCGGCTTGCCTTTGACCCAGGAGCCTCAGTGTTTTGGGGACAGAAACTCCAGAGAAAGGAGTGCCCTTCTCGTCTCTCCCTTTCCCAGAAAATGAGCAGCAAGCCAGGGCGGACCAGGCCCCGAGAGCGGAGGGCGCAGCTAGAGGAGGCCTCTCTCTGCAGGGGGCCTTCTATTTCTGGTCAGACCTGCCCACAGGCGAGTTAGGCCGTGGGGCATGCTGCCTCCTCTTGCCATTAGTCCTGCAGGGACCCAGCTCACGCAGACAGGAACTTCTGTTTCTGCCTGAACTGCCCTGGGTAACTGCGTGCCCTTTATTTCTAGCATCCCCCCGTGACCATGGCCTTATAAACATGTAAGGGCCATTGGATGGTTCAGATCAGTGCCTCTCAGATTTGGTCCAGGGGCAGAACATTGAGAAATGCTGGTGCTCTTTGTGAAACGTTGTGAAACACTACTTTGTTAAACGTAAAATAGCTTTGTCTGAGGTCGGGCCAGTCAGAGGGCAGGTCACTCAGCGCCCGGCTACAAAGGGGCACTGACATCTGTGGAGCCCTTGGGTGCCAGGTGCTGTGCTAGGTCCTTTACCTGCTTGAATTAACTCAGTTTTGAGGCAATGGAAAATGCGTGGGAGAATGTTTTAAAGCCAGGAACGGTTTGGTAATTAATGTGATTTTTATGCACCCCCTGGAGAGCCTTCTATTGTTTGATTTTTGCAGGGAATGCATTAGTGGCCCAAGAAGCCTGATTTAAAACTGTTCCTCCTTTTTTTTTTTTTTTAAAGTTTTTAGATGCACTTCTGGTTTTAGAACAAATATCAACCATTTTAAAGATTTCATTTATTTATTTTTAGAGAGAGGGCAAGAGAGTGAGAAAGAGAGAGAGAGAAATATCAATGTGTGGTTGCCTCTCGCGCACCCCCTCCTGGGGACCTTGCCACTAACCCCAGCATGTGCCCTGCACTGGGAATCTGGCCTGTGATCCTTTGGTTCCCAATCCAGCGCTCAGTCCAGAGTGACACTAGCCAGGGAAAAACTGTTCCTCCTTAAACAGCGTCCACGTCTTTGCTCAGGTGGAGGCATCTGTATTTGCTTCTCACCTTCAGGAAGGACTGGAATGCTTAGAAAATTCCTACTCAAAAATCCATTAGGGGCAACATGAAACAGTGCCTTTTTCTGGCTGCAGAGAATTGGGATGGAATGTCTGAGGCCGAAAAGGTGGGGGGAAGGGACTGAGCCGGGTTTGGGGTCTGTGAGGCTTCTCCCCTGTGACCTTCCCCTGAGCCCACCTTCAGCTGCCTCGCCTCCCACCCCAAGGATGGGTCCCCGCGTGGGCGCGTTTCATGACTGGGGCCTGTCCTTCCCCTGCAGCGGGGAAGGGACTGGTGGAGGCCGCTCACTTCTGCTACCTCGTGGCTCGCGTGCCCTTTGGCCACTACACCGTGAAGACAGACCACCTGGCCCTGCTGGGCAGCAGCCACAGGTATGCGACCTTCTGGGGCAAAGGAAACGGGAAGGATGTTTCCTAGGTGATTGCTTTAGCGCTCGCTGGGTTTCATGGCTCCATTTTCCGTTTTCTTGGGTGAATTTCAGCTACCGCTGGTCCCCTTCTTTGGGGCTGGTTTCTTCAGGGATCTGGGGAAGGAGAGGCCCAACAGGTGCTGCCTGACACCACCAGGGGGCCCTCGGTGGGAGCTGGTGCCCTGGGGTTGTACTGTGCACCTCTGGCCACGTGGTGGCGCCCTGGCTCCACAACCAGGGACAGTCTCTTGACAAAATGTTAGTGTGAGCGCCTTGCGGCGCTGTATTAGGCAGCCCTGGGCAAAACTGGAAAGTGGAAGAAGTTTATGTTTAGCTCCTACACCCCTGACTTGGTGCACAAACTACCCAGACTTCCACCTGTCACTGATTCTCTCTTGGCTGTAACATTAGGCTTTTCCTCCACATTCTGGACCTCTCTTTCCCTGCCCCTGTAAAAATGAAGATTTCCTGAGCTCTTACCTTGTGCCAACCATTTCATTCCCATTACTTCCTTCCATGATTACAAATTTACCTTATGAAGAAAATGTTATTTTTAATTTTCACTTTATAGAGGAGGGAAACCAAGGCACAGAGAGGTTAAGTAACTTGTCTAAGATCGCACGGCTGGCGTGGCGTCAAGTTAGACTTGGAATCCAGCCTATACGGCTGCAAAGCCCTTACTTTTAACAGCGGCACCAAACTGCCTACAACCACAGGGACACATGTCATACTGCCTGTCCCCTCAAAGCTCGCTGGGTTTTGGGTCAGCTGGCTAACCAAAGCTGATCGCCTGTGGTTAGCTTGTCAGAGAAGCCTGCCTGTGCCCAATGTGACAATAACAGTGTGTGGGTTCACATGTCTCTCTGCTGTGTTTACATGGCAGGAGGAAATGTCTGGAGATAGAGTCGTGACCCCAGGATAGCCTTGGTGACAGTGGCGAGCTGTGGAGGGAGGGATTTGGGGCATGAGGGGACTTGGATGGCCCCTCAGGTCACAGCCACCCAGTTGGCTTCCTCATGGGCTGAATGGGCATCCAGCATCGGAACCATTGTTGCCGATTTTGGGCTCAGCGGTCCACCCTGTTCACTGCCGTGCCGGCCCTGAGAAGTGCTCCTGGAGCAGCACATTGCTCCCGCTTTCAAACTGTCCTTGGGCTCAGGCTGGGAGCGGCCGGGACAGGGGCACGCCCTAGGCTTTTGGGGCACTTAGGTGAACTGGGGGGAGAGCAAGCAGCCTGCCTTACGGACACTCCAGCACGGAGGGCAGGGCACGGCCCCCCCGCCGGCCCCCCCCCCGCCGCTTCCCGCAGCCTGCGCCTGCTCCTTCCTGAGTTCTGCTCCTTCCCTGGAACAGAGGGGAGCAGAGGGGAAGGGCCTTCCCTCTGGAGGCCCAGACCCCTTTCCCCTCCGGGACAGGAGCTCTGCCGAGGATGAGGGTGGGCGCCGCTGGTGCTGGTGTTCGGCTCTCTACCGGGACTTAACTCCCTCCTCCACCCCACCTCCGTCTCTCCTGTTGTTCTTCCCTGGTTTTAGTCAAGAGTTTTTGAAATTTGCTACCACTGAGGCGATCCAGAGGACTGAGATCTTCGAGTACTGTCTGATGCTGGGCAGCCCCCAGTCCTTCATCCCTTCCTTCCAGGTAAGTGAATCCATGTGGGGCTGGGCCGGCACTTTGGGCGGCCGCGGGCAGCTGGGTTTCCAGCTCAGTTCTTTAGCACAGACCAGCGGGACAAAGTCACCTACCGACTTCCCTCACTCGCTCGAGTGTGGAAAGGGTTAGGATTCTCTCTAGGTCCCCCAAGTGCCTGTGTTTTACGACGTGAACGCAAAACGCTGCAGTGGCCTCTGCTGGAGGCGGCGGCCTGGCACGGACCCCTGAGTATGCTGCCCGGGTCCCGGCTGTGCCTCTGCAGGGCGTGCACCTGAAGGCCCCGGACGTTGGGTAGCTCGCCCTGCTCCGCGCCTGCTGAGCTGCCTCTCTGGTCTCTTGGGACGTCTTCAAACTCTGGCAATCCTCCCCCCTCCCCCGCCCCCTCCCTTCCCAGGGCTTCCGCTGCGCGGGGGGGCCTTGACCTTCACAGGGTCTAACCTGTCTCCTCAGCTTCCCTGCTGGATGCTCTGTTGCCACGCGCAGTTCATACAGACTCCTTCGGTGCCTGCTTTGAGTGACACAGTGGCTGCGACACACACGCGCACACATACATTCATGCAGACACACATACGAACACACACACAGACCCACACACACACCCCCTCAAAACACACTCTCGCGCCCCACAACCCAGGACACAAACCAAACCAAACCTTGGAAATGAATGAATTACTGTCAACGGAAGAATAACCCCGTGAATGTCGCCTGTCAGCGTTCCCCCAGAGCCCGCGGACTCCAGCAAAGCCCCCCAACCGGTGCCCGGGGAGCCGGCCTCCAGCCTCTCTGCCTTTTCCGGCCTGAGCCAGCCCGCCTCTCCTGAGCTCCGGGCCGGTGGTGACGAGAGGAGCTGGTTTCCGCGGATGTGCCCGCCATGCCACGCCTGGCGCTGGGCTTTTGTACTTTTCACATATTACTGCCAACCCCTTGAGGCTGGCATCATGGCCGCCCGCCCCAGTTCCTGGAGGAGGAAATGGGGGTTCAGAGCTACCTGCTGGTATCTCTTGGGTATCATTCATTCTAAGAACTTTACGTGGATTGTTTCATTTAATCTTTACAACAACCAGCTGAGAGACAGTATTGTCATCCCCATCTGGTAGTGAGGCACAGAGAGGCGGGGTCACTAGCCCGTGTGCCCGCCCAGCATGGGGCTGGAATTGGAACGTGGGCCTGTCTGGTCCCCAGCCCCCGGGCGCCGCCTCAGCCTGCTGTGCTTGCTTCCGTGAGAGCGCACCCGCGTGTGTCTGCGCTCCCCCGGGGGCTGTCAGCCCCTGCGCCAACCGCTGCTTCTCCTTTCACGTGCCCCCCTGAGCCTGGCCCTGTGCCGCACGTACACTAGGCTTTCCAGGGACGTGGGCTGCATTTCCATGGTGACCAGGGCCCAGGGAGGCTGAGTGATGTGACTTCCATCCCCTTCTCTCGGAGCCGCAGGCTGCGCTTGGACCTGGGCCCATGCACAGATAGGATGCCCCATTTAGATGCCAGAGTTAGAGGAAGCGGGTTGCCCGCTGGCTTCAAAGAAGTCTTATCTACATTCCTCTCTTTCTGCCCCTGCCTGGGCGGACGAGCCACGAGCCCTGTTCCTCTCCGCAGGTGTATAAGCTCCTGTACGCTTCCCGGCTGGCAGATTTCGGCCTCGCGTCCCAGGCCCTGCATTACTGTGAGGCCGTTGGCACAGCCCTGCTCAGCCAGGGAGAGGGCAGTCACCCCGTGCTATTGGTGGAGCTCATCAAGGTGAGCTTCTCAAAGGGTTCCCTGCACCTGTTTTATCTTCAGCGTCCAGAGCAAGCTGTGGTAAAGTGGCTTAGACTCCACATTGCATCTCCTTTGAGCCTGCTCTAAAATAGGAGCCCGGAGCTGCCTTTGACCACGTGTGCGTGCCCAGATGTGATAAGCCGAGGCCGACACTGTGCAAAGAAGGACGCTGTGGGCAGGAGGCATGGGATGGGGGTGGGGGCCAGGAACTGGGCACATGCAACGCAAGATACTCATTCCTGCATGTGCTTTTCTGGTAGAGTAAAACTGCACATTCAGGTGAAACATTCTAATTCTAAAAGCTGGGCTTATAGAATATATGTTAGTGATTAAAATAGGAAATGCCCCTTATTAAAATGCTTCCAAATGCATGGAATACTTTATCACGTGTGGGAGACACTTAAAAAACAAAACATGCCAACTTTCAGTTCCCGGGGAAGAAAATCAGGCACATAGTTCCAATCAATTGAAGGAAAATGCATTAGCTCGAGAGTAGAAACGCAGCTTACCGTCAGTTTTTGCTTTGCTTTAGACGAGGTTCTGTAGCCAATAAAATCTGTGGCCTGATTCCCTGCTCGGAGATTTCTGCCAATAGGACAATGTTGGTTGTGAGCTCAGGGACCCAGAACAGAGGAGAAGGAAAGTTTCGGAACTTAACGATGGAGTAGAGTCTCGCAATACGAAGTAGTCCCTGGACCGGCGGCAGGGGTGTCACCTGGGAGCTTGTTAGGAATGCAGGCTCTCAGGCCCCTCCCAGCGTTCTGGCATCAGAATTAGCATTTCAGCAGGGTCCCAGGTGGTCCTATGAGGAGCACTTGCACCAAGCAGACAGCTTTGCAGGCTCATAAAGCCAAGTAACAGTTTCTTCTTATATTTCACTAAGCATCTAACATCAAGGTGGGTTAGTTGCATGTACATGTCGCAGTTTTGGGAAGATGTCTGCTGGGTGTGTGCTCTCTTGATTATGCTTTATGATCTAATGTACGAGCGAGTTCCGGCGCTTTCTCCTTTTCCCTTATTGTGCCTTCCCCCATTTTCTTTCCATTTCTCTCATTCACTTCCCTCCCTCTGTCCCCTTGTCGTACCCTCTGCCGCGACCCACCGGGAAATCTGGCACAGCTGGCCGAGAAACTGAAGCTTTCTGATCCCCTGCTGTTGGACAGACGCCGCGGGGACCGGGCCCTGGAGCCGGACTGGCTTGTGCGCCTTCGGAAGCTGCACAAGGAGCTGGAGGTGAGTGGGCTTGGAGCGGCCTCAGTGTGCGGGGCCCCTCGGAGCGCCCCTTTACACAGGGGACGTGGGCACTGACCTTGGCAAGTCCCCGCCAACCCCATCACCCACGAGGCCATCTGACCTGGGAGGGGGTGGCACTCAGTTTCCCGGCTGCGGCCTCTCTCCTGGGCGGGAACGCTTTCCTGTGTCCTCCCGCGAGACACTGGGCCCTTTTCAAAATCATCCTGCCACCCTCTCTGCGGTCCCAGAAAATACGTTTAATGACGATCAAGGCTTCCACCTCCTTTAGGAACAACGGATCACAGTGCACCCGCATCTCTTTCATGTAATGTAGGGCAATTGCTTAAAAGACTTCTGGGCCTTTCCTTTTTGTCCTGACAATCACGACTGGCAAGCAAGAGCTGCCAGTAGCAATTGTAACAATAATTGGAACAGGGCTTCCTCCCTTTTCCTTCCCCCACTCCCTCTGAGAAAGGACAGGGTGGAGTTTTTATGGGGCACGCGGCCCTTACCCCCTCCACATGCCGCATGCTCCGGGCATTGGGTGCCTTGCACTGCCCCTTCCTGGGGGAGACACAGTGGCCTGGCCCCCTGGTCCCTGCCTGCACCGAGCAGAGCTGGGAGACAGGAGGGCGGAGGCTGCAACCCACACCCCGCCCCCCCGCCCCCCATCTTCCCCACCAACCCCCCCAGCATATCGGCTGAGGTCCCTCCCCTTGATCATTCCCTCTGGTTTCTTTTCGACTTAATTTTTAAACCATTGTTCCCTATTCTTGCTTTTCTTTGTGTTGCTTAAAGGATTTTCCTTTGTCTCAATTAGCAAAAGGTAGCAGGAGACACTGGGGATCCCTGTTCTCATTCAGATATTTCCGGAGCCCAAGGAACAACAGGTACCCGAACTGACGCACCGAGCGTGTGAGTAGCTGGCCCTCGGGATCTGGTTATATGAGGGGATGTCGCTTAAAACATACCTGCCACTCCCGTCCTGCCGCGTCTTCCCGGCCTGTGTCAGGCCGACCCCACGGTCCAGGCACTGTCCCCACACAGCTCCTGCTGCCACGGTCATCCTGACACTTCTAAGTCCCCACGTGGTTAGAGCTTCTGCTTCACATTCAGGTTTTAACACTTGTCACTTCATATCGCTGCCTAACTGTTTCCTCTCTGTTCCTGCCGTCTCCCCAGCTGACTATATTTCTTGAGGTCACAGACAGTGCGTGACCTCTGTTTCACATTCGTGTTGGGGACGTTGGGCGCTCTTAAGATTCTGAACGATCGGTCGCCACGCGCACGTGAAACATGTTCCACAGCGTTTCCGCACATGCCTCCTTTCCCCTCAGGACACCTCTGCGTGTTGGCTGGGTCACATCATTGCCCCCAGTTAATTCTGTGCCTGTTTCCCAAATGACACGCTGTTGTGGTGTCAGAACGAGGCCTCGTCTCTTTACCTGCAACCTTTTCCCAGCCTTCACCGCTTCCTTCTGGGGAGGGAGGAGTAAAGGGGAGGCCAGCAGGGCAGGTCTGGCTTCCCGTTTCTTGGCTTTGCTGCTGATTCGCAGCATCTGTGAAGGTCAAGGGCTGGAGGAGAGCCAGGCTGGGTGTCTCCGAATGGCCGCTTCCGCTAGGAAGCAGCTGTGTCCCCGTCACCCAATCGAGAAGGTGGGTCGGCCGCCCCGTCCAGGGCCGTGGCTTTGGGCCGGCCGTGGCACGCGTGCACGTTGCAGTCCGTCCCAGCTCCCCGCCGCAGAGTGGCGGAGCCAGATGAATGCCCCCGGGGGCCCGTGCAGGGCCAGCGCTCCAGTTCCTTAAAAGCAAAGCCATCATTCCGCGGCCTGCTTGGCATTTTAACTGGAACCTTTCCAGGTTTTAAATACCCAAGCCCATTAGGAAATCCTTGAAGGAGAAAGTTTATCCAAAAATAAAAAGCGGTGGCTTTATGTGAGATGGTAACTTCCGTCCTCCCAACCCACTGTTGAAAGCTCCGAGATCACACAGGGTGGCGGGGGAAAGGCTCGTGTAAGCTCTATGTCATAAGCCGAGAGCGGGGGCACAACAGTGGCTGTGCTGTGCTCATGATCACGTTAATGGCGGCCACGTCAAGGGGCCTGTCCTTACAACTGCTTTCCAAAGGGGATGGAAGGAATGGGAAGGAATGTGCCTGGTGTGATCAGCCCTTGCCAATGCAACGGTTCAGGCCTCACTTCTTTCTCTTCTCCCTACGTCCTCAGGAAACCCTTCCTACTACAATCTTTCAAGACATCAAGGGGACTCAGACACCACCAGGGACCCCTCGGCCCTGTGGCCAACGGTGGAACCCGTGCGCCCGGCCCGGCCCAGTCCACAGCAGCCCCTTGCACTGCAGCCGGGCTCCTACCCGGTGGGCGGAGATCTCGGGCAGACTGGGGTCCCAGTGCCTCTTTACTCAGTTCCCGAGACCCACCTGCCAGGGCTTGATGGTGGCACGGCAGTGACAGAGGCTCCCGGAGGAAGGGCCTGGGAGGGGGCCCAGCAGACCCAGCCACGCCCGGGTAAGACCTGTGCTAGGCTGGCAGGCTGGGGCGAGGTCGTCCAGAGGGAGGGGGCAGCCAGGGGGGCGGCAGGGACCAGTGGGGAGGGGTCGTGCACGTGACAGAGGGCCCACCATGTGTCAGCCCCGGTACCAGGCATCCGCACACATCCGCGGGAGCTTGCTGTCTACGGGGACAAGCAAAGCAAGACAGACGGCAGCCCCCCGCCCTCCCCTCAGGTCACATAGCTCCTAGGAGACAGGCTGCGGGTCACAGGAGGGCGGGAGGGGTCAAGTCCTCCTATCCGAGTTCAAGAGCTTGCTGAGTTCAAGAGCTTGCTGCCCGGCGAGGCCCATGCTCCTGTCCCGGTTCCAGGTGCCTTAGGCCACTCGGGCCTTGGGCAGCAGGGCAGAGGGTAGGCGAGTGGGGCTGAGCGTCCCCAGGGAAGTGCTGGAGGCCAGCCGGTGGGATCGGCTTTAGACCTTCTGAGAGAAGGGTCTGGCCAACACGGGACCCTTGACTGGAGGGAACGGTGGGGGAGGACCCCTGTCCCAGCTCAATGGGGCCCTGATTGGCAGGGCTCCTGTGGAACGGCCGTGGTGTTCAGGGTAGAGGAGGGTGGCCAGCGTGTCCTGCGGCAGCGGAATTGAATTGTGCGGGTCGGGCACGGGGGTCCTCTGTTCCGTGTAATGCGCGTGGGGCTCTGGGCTCGGAGCCCCAGCTGCTTGGCGGTCAGGAGGGCCGACTGTGCCCATCACCTCCCTCGGACGGATGGAAAAAGTGCAGTCGCAGGTCACGATGTTTGTTTCTTTTTGTGCCACAGGGGAGAACCCAGTGTCTCAAGACACTCTCCAGCACCCTGACGGTCCAAGGGTGTTTTCCGAACCACAGGTGAGAGGAGGAAGCCCCCCTAAGCATCAGGCTTTCCTAGTCACCAGGTTCGTTAGGCACACGCACCCTCCCGCCCCTGCCTGGCCCCTGCTCGCCCTTTCCCATGGCACCTTGTTCTGCTTGTTTCTTCCTACACTGAGCCCTGAGACGTGGGGAGGCTTTGTTCCCGGCGCTCAGTCCCGCCGCCCGGGTCCTCAGAGGGCCGCTCTGTCCGACACACCTTCTCACTGTCACTCCAGACACGCCTCGCCCTGCCCTGCCCTGCCCTGCCCTGCCCTGGGAGACCCTGGACGTTTCTTTCCTTCTTTTCCTCTCGACCTTGCTTTGCTCCCAAGACGGGTCTGTGGCAGCTGAGTCTTTTCTCCTCCACGACACTATAAGTCTCAAAGGCGACCTTGTCTAATTACCCATCCCACCCGGCGGCTGAATGAACGAATGCTCCCCTCCCCCAACCATGGGCGGCCCTTCTCCCAAACGCAGGATGATCCTCAGCTTTGCCTGGTTGGTTGGTTGTATCACATAATTTTCTCAAGTGGAGACCGGCTACAGGTCTTAAAAACCTTTATACTTTATTTTTTCTTTTTCCAACTGAAAAAGGAGTACATTCTTAATTATAGAAAACTTGAAAAATAAGGAATTAAGCAAATCTCACTCATTATCCCAAAGTCAAATAGTTGGTTATTTTCTTTCAATACATTTTCCATCTCTGTGTGTGTGTGTGTGTGTGTGTACACAAATACAGGGTCCAGCACAAATAACGCCCCTTTCTTATTACAAAATCTTTTAATGCAAAGTCATAAGCAGGTAATTCTGTAACATAACAGTGTCACACTTGAGCACACCATATGACATTTGAGGTAAAATGTTCAAATGAAAACAATAAATCATTGCACCCGTATTACCAACCACACTCAAGCAGGAGTTACTTCTACCCAACCCCGTGTGTTTTTAAATGGTTAAGACCATGTACACGTGCAGCTCTACTTCTTCTTTGTTATTTAATATTATGAAGTAAGAGCTTCCATGTCATTCATAAACAGGGTTTTTAGTATTAGTATGAAAAGCAGTTTTCCTTGTACGAGAGCGCACTCATTCATTCATTCATTGGTTCATCCACAAACATGGAGTTCCCGCAGCGTGCACGGGGCTCGGGGTACACAGGGGCTGGGGTGCTCAGGGAACCAGACCAGGCCTCCGCACGGCGCTTCCATTTAATGGCGGCGCCCGCAGCAACCGACCATACGCAGGAGGGATCTGGCTTTAGATGGGGCGGCAGGGAAGACGTCCCTGGGGAGGCCTGGGCGAGGGCGGCCTGGAGCCTGTGCACGGACTAGGTGAGTGAACAAGGACTCAGGGCAGAGGGGACAGCCCGCGCAGAGGCCCGGAAGGGGGGCTGACTGGGTGCTGCCAGGGAACAGCAGGGAACCCCTGTGTCTGAAATTGGGGAGCAACGGGAGGGTACTAAGAAGCCAGGCCCCGGAGAGGAGCTGGATTTTAGTTCATTGTCCTTCAACATCTTGAGCGTGTTGCTTCTCTTTCTTTTCCATTTTTTTCTTTCCTACTCCTTCTCTCGTCTTCCTTCCTTCTTGCCTCCCGCCTCCCTCCCTCTCATATATTAAACACAGCGGTGGGCATGCCAGTATATAAGCCCGTATCTAGTTCTTGGGTTATTTTAGTAGGAGAAATCCCTGTAAGAGAGCCAGGCTGCCTGAGTTTGAATTCTTATCTCCCATTTTCTATCTGTGTGACCTTTAACAGGTTCCTTTGCCTTTCTGTGCCTTAGTTTTCTTGTGTGTAAAATGGGATGGTAATAGTACCAACCTCACAGGATTGTTGTAAAGATGAAATGTTTTCATAATACACACAAAAACTGAATCAGTATGTTACATGCCTGAAACTAATATAATGCTGTTTGTCAATTATGCCTTAATAAAAAAAGATTAAATGAATCCCTATATATGGGACTTAGAACAGTGTCTGGCATACAGTAGATATTATACTCATTAGGATAAAATATAAAGCTTTTCTTATGGATTGCCAAAGTATTTTCCAAAGGTTGTACCAGTTATGGTTTTTTCGGACAGTGTAAAATAAAACACAAAAGGACAAATGCATGATTCCATTTACGTGAGACAAAAAGTAGAGTAGAGGTTACCAGGGAAAATGGGGGGTTAGTATGTAATGGGTACAGTTTCCATTGAAGGTAATGGAAAGTTCTAGAAATGATGATGGTTGTATAACATTGTGAATATACTAAAGCCACTGAACTGTACACTTAAAAATGGTCAAACTGGTAAACTTGACGCTATATCAAAAAATTTAATATAAAGTGACATGGGGTATTTTACTCTTCTCTCGTGCATCTGTTCACAGCTGACCTTGGGCAAGCCAGCTTAGAAATGAACTCTAGGGGAAGGAGGCCTGGCAGTCACTTTGCCTGTCCTTTGGGTCTGTGGGTCCCTGAGGGGCGTGTCCTGGCCCTCTTCACCTCCGGCGGTAGCGTTTCGCACCCCTGCTCGGCCTTGGTACAGTCCTGAGGACCTGATGTTCCGGGGGAGATAGCACAGCATCCAGACCCCGACAGGACTAGGGACAGCGTGCAGACTGGTTGGGCTCGGGCCTGTCCTGAGACCTTTGGCAAATCCTGTGGCACGGCTAAGCCCTGCCTCCTCCTCAGTGAAGTATGATCCGGGGAGAGGATCCCGCAGAGTTAGTGAGCAGGCCAGGTCAGGGGACGGCGTCCACGTAGAGGGGCCTTTGTGACCTGTCGGGGGCATTGCGCAGGTGAGTTCTTGTTTTCTTTCATCCCAGGTGCCAATGATTCCCAGGACACAAGACATTTCCGAGGATGCCACTGTTTCATCCAAGGAGGAGGAAGAGGATTCTTCTGATGAGACAGATAAAAAATCTTCCCGCCACACGGCACAGAAAGCAAAGGTAGGAGGCAGGGGCGGAACACACAGGTGGGGGGCCTGGGGCTTCTCTTCCCAGCAGACTGGGGGTCCGGGCTTGGGCTGTGTCTCCGTGTCAGCACCTCACACTGGGGCGGGTAATCTCACGCCCGTGGGAGGATCACACCTGCAGGCCATCGAACTCTCCCCTCCCCACCCAGAGCTCAGGGTTTGGCTGGTTCAGCTGGTTTCGCTCAAAGCCCACCGACAGCACACCCTCCTCCGGGGATGAAGACTCTTCTGACGGCCCCGACTCAGAGGTAACCTGGCAGGAGGACAAGGAGCCCCCTCTTCCATGCCCCCTCCCAGGACGGCTCCTCAGGCTTGGGGGGTGGGGGGAGGCGGGAGCTGGCGTCAGACTGCGGCCCCGTCTGGGTGAAACGGAGGTTTTGTGAAGGGACAGGGGTCGTGGGAAACGACTGGGGCCCGTGGAGGGAAAGGCAGGTGATGAAGGGCCCCACGAGCTAGGATGAGGAATCCTCACGCCGAGGGCCAGCGCGCCTGTGGACTTGCGGAGCAGGGGAGCGGCGCAGAGGGGGTGGAGTCTGGGGGAGAAGGCCCGCAGCAGGTTGTGGGTAGGGGCCCTGTGGGGGGCGCGGCAGGAACACGAACAGGCCCGCGTGCACTTGCTAACCACCAACGCTGCCTCTCCTTCTCCACTGAGCAGGAGACCCCCAGGGCGCCTTCTCCCCCCCAGGCTGGCGCGGGCCTCTCACTGACGCCCCTCCCGGAGCCCCCGTCTCTGACAGGTGTCAACACCTTCTCCAGGGCCACAGGTACGGCCAGCCTCATGTCCCCTGGGCCGTCGGCGGTCTGCTCTGCGCTCCCTGGAGGCTGGGGGTGCTTTCTGGGAGTGGAGACTCTTCAGTCCTGGGCAGTGGAAACAGCAATGACCCATGGCTTTCTAGGTGGGGGTGAAGTCCAAGGACCGACGTCCAGTGGGGGAGCAGCTGAGGTCACTGGGAATGGAGGCCTGTCTGGGCCCCAGGTGAGCAGCCCGCGGGTGGGAGGCCGGGGCCCCACCAGATGCCTGTGTGTGACCTTCACCATCAGGGCCGGGGCCCAGCTCCTGGGGGCGGTGGGGAAAGCTTCGCTGTGAGTTTGCTGGGGCTGCCGTGACAAGGTGTCACACATGGTGCTGCTCAAACAAAGCCACAGAAGTGTATTTCCTCCCAGTTCCGGGGGCTGGAATCTGAGATCAAGGTGCCGGCAGCATTGGTTTCCCCTGCGGCCTTTCTCCTTGGCTTGTAGATGGCCACCTTCTCCCTGAACCTTCCCGCGGTCGTCCCTGTGTGTGTCTATATCCAGATGTCCTCTTTCTACAAGAACACTAGTCATGCTGAGTTAGGGACTCCCCGCCCCCCGCCACCGCCAGGACCTCACTTAGCTTTAATCACCTCTGTAAGGACCCTATATCCCGATCCATTACAAAGTGCTGGGGTTTGGATTTGGACATAGGAAGTTTTGGGGGAGACGTGATTTAGCCCATCTTTGCTTCCTTTGGTGAAATCTGCAGCACTTTCTGTGCCCCAGCGGGAGGCACAGTTCACCCGTGTCCTTGCAAGGGCTGTGATAAACTTTTGATGAATGGTCCACACTGGTGCGATTTCATGCTGATTGTCAGGAGGGCGCTTTTATTTCTTGCGGTCTGGTTAGAGCGCTCTTATTGTACTTTAGGCCTTTCAAAGAATATGATATTACATTTTACGATGCTATCAACGTAACTTATTGTGGCTTTCTCTCCTCTTGTGCTCCAGGTACAGGCGCACCTGAGCCTCCGCATTGCCTCCTCAGACCCAGGGGTTGGCTGTGCCCCCTTGAGCCACATTTGTTTACTTGAGAGTCCCTGAGTTCTATCAGGGAACCCTTCCCATCTGCCTCTTCTGACCAAAGTGGAAGCTCAGGGACGCCTGTGGTGCTCTGGAATCTGGGAAGCGGTGACTGAGAAGATTTTCTGTTCTGTTCTGTTCTGTTCTGTGGCAGGGGGTTTCCTCAGAGCGCTACTTCAACCCTGGTGGCCTGCTTCCCCCAACCCCCATGAAAGGGGCCGTTCCTCTCTACAACCCATCGCAGGTGCCCCAGGTAAGGAGGCCCCAAGGGACAGGGGTTAGCACAGGCTGGAGATCCGGGGTTATGATCCTAGTTGACCTCTTACTGTGCATGAGTTCTCGAGCAATGGCTCACCCTTTCTAAGTCTCCATTTTTGCATCTGTAAAATGGGCTTGGTAGTGGCTACCTCACTGAGTAGTTGTGAGGGTTCAACAGGAGCATGTACGTATGTGAAGGGCCTGGCACACAGAAGAGGATCCATCGATGTTGCAGTTTCCAACATTGACCTTTCATACGTCACAAGACTCAAGGGATGCAAGTGGTGTGGACGTCAGTGGAGAGCTTGCACCATTGCTCTGTCCTGGGATGAGGGGATCCTTGCAAACATTGAAAAGAGCCAAACTCCCTGCTCCTCAGTGACCTGGGGACACCGAGGGCTCTAATGCATCCCTGGGCCTCCCCTCTTTATAAAACTGAATTTGTTTTGCTGTATTTAAGAGGTCAAGGTGCTGGGTGGACATCGGTAATTAGAACATCACACTAGGAAGCCGGACGCAGCTGAAGTGTTGTAGACGCTTGTGATGCTCTACTCAGTCCAACCAATCGGCCCTGGGAGGAGTCAGCATGGGGCTCTAATCCAGCGTGACGTTTGCTTTCTTCCAGCTCTCCACGGCTCCTGGCCCGAGCCGGCCAAGTCGCCTCGCTCAGCGCCGCTATCCCACGCAGCCGTGAGGAGTGACCACCCACCCCAGGAGGGTCTCCCTAGAGTGCAGTGTTTACGTTGCTGTCCTCTCCTCATCTTCCAGCCCCTCTGCCGTGTCGGGGCCCCCCTGGGCATGGAGAAGGCAAGGGGATGGGGTCCCCCGGGATCCAGCTCAGTCCAGCCTCTTAACACCAGCTTCACATGACGGAAATGACTCCATGAGATGGAAAGGTGGGGCATGAGCTCAGATGGGAGGGGAGCAGGGAACGGGGTGCCATCCATGGGGCAGCTCGGGGGATGGTGGCTTCAGATCCCCAGGCAAGTCGGGACCCAAGGACACCACCACCGCTGGAATTAGCGCGGATCCCACTGGGCTTTGCAGCAGGAATTATTGAGGGGCGCGGAGCACTCGGAGCAATATCCTGGACTAATTTAACTCCTTCCTCAGGTTCAGTTATAGACCAATTCATGGCTCTCCTTAGCAAAAGTTTTTATACTAAAACTTGATTATTCTTGTCACAATTCCCTTTTCAGTGGCACTTCAGCAGTTTCCCTGTTGGTCTTCATTTTGTGCACATTTTTATGGGGTTCAGATTAATTATATCTCTCTCACTTTCTTCGCTGGTCCTATTTTTTCACATTCTGGCATCTGGCTATCAAGTTAGATTGCTGTCGGCATCCTATTGTCATGGTAACTGCTGAACCCAATGATGCAGATGGATGGAGCATCAGTCAAACAGACGATGGAAAACATTTTCTAAAAATTCGCCCCTTCCCTGAGAGGGGAGGGGTGAGTGTGCGATACTGGTGCTCCCTCCCTGCCTGCTTCAGGCCTTTGCGAATTGATGTTCGGAGGGTCCCAGGCACCGGAAGGAGGAGGGGGACATCTTGGAGATTTCCATTTTCTTCTTTGAAACCCAAAATAGAAATGACTGGTGGTGTTTGTCAGATTTGCTGAAAATTGCTCCTCACAAAGAACACTGCGTTTTGTATGTGTAATTGTACATACAGGTTTTGTACTCTGACGTACTCCTGTTCTAATGTTGGTAGCGATTAAACAAGATAATTTTATAGCAAATGCTTGTCTGTGGCACATTCCATGGTGTGTTCCGGAGTCTTTTCTAATAATGGTTTCACTGTGTGAAAGGGCGGGACGAGCTGGACAGAGCCCTTGGCGAACGAGAATCTAGGGACTGACCCTCTTAACTTCCAAGTCTACTCTAATGTTATTTTTTTCCCCCAGTTAGGACAATATGAACAAAAGCTTTGATGGAAGGAATCACTTCATTAATTAAGTCTCACACATTGTGTTTTCTGAAAAGTCTGTTCATCTCACAGATTAAATGAGGAAATGCTTGCCTAAGGGTTTCGCACCCAGAAGGCCCTTGGTAAATGCCACTCCCTTTTCTGCCTTAAAGGACGGCCGCTTCTTCAGGCTGGAATGCCGACACCCAGTGGCAGGGCTGTGGCGGTGTTGGGTGGCTTCCAGAGTCGGGCTGCGTAGACTTGAATCCTGGCCGACGCACAGTTCACCTTGTAACCTTGGCCAAGTTGGACCTGCCTTGCCTGTGCTTCTCATCTATAACACGAGGATGATAATTACAGTAGCACCTATGCATAGGGACATTGCAAGAATTAAATGAGTCAAGGTCATAGAAAAGTACCTGGTACATGCTAAGCACTGTACTTGTATAACTGGTTTTTTAAAAAAATTATCCATATACATTCAGTGAGTTAAATCTTGACTGTCTTGTTGCCTACCAGATTAAACTGCGGATTTTTCATTCTCAGTATAGGTATATTATGGGAATAACATTGTAAAACTATTCAATGTGTGTCCTTGTTACTAAGCCGACTCCTCTCCCTGCATCCCTCCTGCCACCAGTCAGTGCTAGGTCATGCGGCTTAGTGCTCTGGTGAACAGTGACGTAGGGGCGGGCCTGCCCCATAGAAGGAAGCCTTTCTAGGAGGAGAGTGAGGACCAAAGAGAAGGGCCAAGACCTCAGGTGCCTGGGTCCTCACTTTCTCCTCCCGCCGGCGTTATAAATGGAAAAGCAATGACTACAGTGTTAGCAAAGCCAGCCCCAAACCTAGTGGCTTCCCAGGCAACAGGAACAAATCAGCTGAGGAGGAAAGTCAGGGGTTCGTACGCTAGGAAGCGGGGAAGTCAGGGTATGTTCGCTAGTTCACGGTCGAAGGCTTGTGCTGTGGCAGTTGGAAGGCTCCTGTTCCTCTGCGTGTGGCTGATTGAAACCAGCCCTGTTGTTCATCGGTCAGGAGAGAGCCCTCCGCTGGGTCCAGTAACGGTCCGACGACCCAGGGTCACTCAGAGGCCTTAGTTGTTTATTAGATTTTCTTCGAGGTGGCGATGTGGATGAGGTTGCGAAGGTCATGAACGTTTTACAACTTCCGCTGGTTAAAACTGGTTGTGCTAAAACAAAGCAAGTGCAGCTGTAAGAGAAAAATATTTTCTTCCTTTGCGAGATGGAAGCATGGCGAGTAGAGCAGGTCATGACAGAAACCTGCTGCTAGGACTGGGGGGCCCAGGAGCACGGGGCTCATGGTGCCCCCCCCTTGTCCAGGGCCTGGGAGAGGCTGCGGACCTTGTGGAGAAGCCAGCATTGGCTTGGCGTCCTGTCCAGTGGGACCTGGGCGCCGTAGCAGCTGGGCGCTGGGGATGTCTGTGACCCGAGACGGGGCCCTAGCCCCCTGCAGCCTGGTGCCTGTGGACTCCTATAGGGAATGATTGATTGCACAGTGTCCCCGAAGGCCACAGGGGTCACGTGTACCCCAGCAGATGCCAGGTCAGGGTGGGGCTGGACCAGCCACCCAAAAAGAATAGGGTCCGCTGCATCGGCCCGTCACCACAAGCCATTTTGGAAAAAGAGAAGAAGTAGAATTCTCTCTTAAAAAAATTACCAAAAGACACTGACAGGGAAAGAGACAGATATTAGTACTTGGCAAGTTTGTTTTTATCCCCCTCCTCCTCACTGGGGGATGGTCTTGGAGGAAGAATAGCTTTAGGAAATAAAGAAGTGACATTTTCCTTAAAAAAACTGGTAACGTGCAAATTTGTGATTCTGCTATATACATATAATTTAATATTTATATGAAAACATTCAAACTTAATGTTCAGTAATTTGGAAGAGAACAAACCGTTAAATTCCATTTAAGTGTCTGTATCACATATAACCATTCCAGCCTTCTGTCTAATCCCCTTACATGGCGATAAATTGCAAACGAGCCAGGAGTCCTCAGTCTCCCACACTGTATGTGCTCCCCTCTCAGCCTTTGCCCGAGCCTCAGGTTGCTCCGGATCAAAGCCTCTGCTAGCTTCTCTCCCCCCTAGAAACCTTTTTTTCCTCTTTGGCCTCTTCCTCTGAGCAACCAAGGGGAAGAGCAAGCGACTACATCCACCTCTTCACTAAAGTCAGAATATTTTCTTCCCAAGAGGAAATATGCAAAACACTCTTCTGCTTGAAAGGAATAATAATAGGTGTGTAATTTGGGTCTCTGACTCACAGGAGTTTCTGGGACACTTGCCCTGCACAGAGAGTGGGACGGAATGGCCTTTCTCCCTCCTCTGTTCGCCATCTGAAGCCCGCAAGTGCGTGTCTCGGGATTCGCACGCAGCAGGGTGTTAGGGCTCCCCTGAGGTTGCCTCTAGGCCCGGCTGCCAGGCCGCCTGCTCCCGTGAAGCAGTTACACTGGGCCACTCATTCAAGTCCTACAGAAATCGTTTCTTGATGAGACTGAATGAACGTCATGTTGAATGAGGACTAACAGCATATTAAATATTTCATTACCACTAAGGAGGGGAACCTGCTTTCCATGCCTTTTTCTGTTTTGTATCTATCTCCAGGTAACATTTAATAGTATTTTGCTGAAACTAGGTCACCGGCAACGTAACTCAAGCTTGACTGACCTGTACAAGCTGCTTGTTATATTCATGTGAGATGCTTGCTTGGTCTTTAACCACCTTCGAGAGAGTCGATTAAGCATCCAATTTTTAAAGAATCTCAAGAGAGGAGAATTCTGTGGCTTCCCTTGAAGCTTCAGCCTAGCGTTTCACACCCTCCAAGATGAGAAAGCTGTTCCTAATACTTTATCCCCAAATCACTCACGTGGCTCTTTAGGACTCTCAGCCAGTCTTCACGGGGGCTGGCACACAGCAGCTCGCCACCACCTGTGCCTGGAACACTTTCCTATTCTGCAAGGCCATTAAGTCACATTTCAGCTTCTGGAATGAAGGCTTACAAGATGGACTTTTCCTGCCTAGAGTTGGGGATCAAACCAGCTAAAGGCTTGGAGTCTCGGTAGCTGTAGTGGCCACACATTTGAGTTTTAGTAACAGTATTTATTGAGTATCTACTTGGCATCAGGCACTGGGGTATGCTGTCTGTAAAGCGTGTATTGTTATTGCAACATGTTACAGAAGAGGAATCTGAAAACTCAAAAGAGATTAAGCAATTTGTCCAAGGTCCTATAGCTACTCAGGATGGAGCTGGGATTGGGATGCAGGTGGTCTGACCTCTGAATCTGGGCTTTTAGCCACATAGTCCCTGGACATATGTACATTTATTTGTTCACTTATTCATCAAATATTAATTGAATAATGTATCAGCCATATCACTGCTTTCCCAACAAGATGATCTTGACACTTAAAATACCCAGGGTCTAGAGTGGGAGATAGACATATAAATGCAGAAATGACTGCCTAATGTGATAACTGTTATACTTAAAGCTGCATTCAAAGGACCTAGTGCCCTGCCATCTCTTAATAATATAGGGGTTTCATTTATTTATGTAATTTGGGGGCTGATATGTAAATATGATCAAATCATACCACCTCTTGTAGGTAAAGATCAAAGTTAAGTTCATCACTAGTGCGTAGAATAGCAAATCTGTTGGCCAGAGTTTGAAGTGGCGCTAAAAATCGGTGGGTGTGCATGAAGCCGTGCACTGTGATCACCAACACCATGGGACGATGGCATCTGAAAGGGCGATCCTGTGATTTAGACCCTCCACCCTTCTGGGACAGAATCTCTTCTTGCTTCTTGCTGCCCTTTACAAGATTCAAAGGCAGGGAAAGGCTGAGCATTGCAGTAGAAGTCTCTCAAGGGACGAGTCCAAGGCAGGGGGTATGTGTGACTTAGTGTGTGTGCACATACATGGACGCCGTCCCAGGAGGACCTTTTCCCAACGTCTCTCTCTTTTCACCTAAGCCCCACCCCCAGCCTTTTATTCCCTCCCCCTCACAACGGCTGTTGACTCCCAACAGAGGAGAGAAGTCAGCCTCCCCATTAAGCATCTTCCAAGTGGCCGATGCTGTGCGGATGCCCACGGAATCTCACCAGAGCAGGATGCAACAGATCCTATGTCGGGAAATCCAAACTTTTGGCTAGAAAATTTTAGCTAATTTTTAATGTTTCCTGGTACTTGGAAATAAAAAACCTGAGTTCTAAAACTTGCCTCTGAGTTCTAAGAGCTCATTTTGAAATATTAAAAGTTCCTATGTTTTCCGTCATGATTTATGGTCAGGAAGACACCTTGTTGTCCTGAGTGGAAGAGAAAGAATTTGAGTTTTGGGTTTCAAGATTTCATTTCCACCTCTTTGGGTTTTTAGGACAAACCAGAGTCTTATGGTCATGGCTCTTTTTTTTGTTTTTATTTTTTGATATTTTGGTCATGACTTCTTTATGTAATTTTTCAGCTTCTTCGCTTTGCAGGCAATGACAACAATAAACCATTAGTCATCCCGATAACGCAGCTCAGTTAATATCTTGAGACAGGATCCAGTCACACTCGCTTTGTGAACAGGTATATTACCGACAAGTTGCAGATACATTGACACCTGCAAAATCAAATTAGTTTTTAAATGTACTGGAGTAGCTTGCAATGGAAAGTTAATTGATGTTAAGCCCCTAAAATAAAGAATTATTTGCAAAGAAAACAATCACTCCCATTTATCACTTTGTAGAGGCTGACTTTGTAGTCTCAGGGAAGACACGATAGTAAGAATAAGACTTTCCGTTCCAGGCTCACATTTCCTACTAGCTAAATTGGTACCTTCATGTAAGTTAATTGAAGTTAGCGTCCCCAAACTCCTCAGCTAAAAATTTGGAGTGGCTCACTCAACAAACA